AGTCCAAGAACTATGACGTTAAAAAAGTTCATAGGGACCCACTTCAAGCCTTTATTTTGATCTTGCTTAAAGCAATCAGACTGAAACATTTACAAATGTTGGTATTTCCCTCTGGGAGGCAGTGTAAGTGAAGTTTATGGGCTCAAATTAGGAGATGAATATACTGATATGCTTTGTTATGATTCTTTCCTCTCTTGTGTTTACATTGTTCTGTAAAATTAAAAAGCAAAAACTTAAGGCAATGAAAGCAAATGTTAAATGACTGTTCTTAATAAAGGTAATAATTTGAGAAGAATTATCTATCGACAGCTATGATATTTAAACGGTTGCCCACAATTAAGCAGCAACAGAGTTTTCTATTGTTACTGCCCACGCCTTGAACGGGGATAATGAAGTAATGACACTGGAGCAATTTTAATCGATTCCTTTAGACAACTGTTCCTTTAAACTGGACCTTAATGCAATTTAATAAGCAGAGAAATGACAGGAATAGCTTTCAATTTATGTTTTTCTTCCCTTTTTGGAATGTTTTTCTTAAAAAGATAAAAGAACAGGGAACAACCCACATCATTATTAGACATCTAGATTTTCAGAGAAATTTTAACAGGCCATAGTCTAAAAAATGTATGAAAAAGTAATAAATTAAGGGCATTAAAAAGAAAAAACAAAACCAACCGCTTCAAGGATTGTTGTTGTCAAGTGCCATCAAGTTGGTTTTGACCCATCGTGACCCTGTATAGGGTTTCCAAGGAGCGGTTTTGGTGAGCCTGAACTGCCGACCTTGCAGCTCAAACCGACTTCACAGACCAATGCATTAACCCACAGGGCCACACCAAGCAGGACACAAAAGTAGAGACACCTTTGCCCGCTTTGTCTTAGAAGAGTGGCCAGATTCCTTTCCACCTATGGGTCATTTTAAGATTTCAAAGCAAAGCTACACGAACACATGTCTAGCTTTGTGGTTTAAATTCGCCGATTTTAAGTCCTATTTAACAATATGAGAGCTAGGGAGCAGGCAGGCCCAGGTGTCAGCCACACTACTTTGACTGAATGGAACGTATCATGGTCCTGGAAATAAAAGCTCTAAGATCCTGAGTGAAGACTTCATTAGGAAAGAGACCTGGTACCACGTCCCGAGAGGCACAGGTCCCACAGTTATACTGAAGGAAGTGCTAATCAACCTCAAATTGGTTACAAAAGAGTTCTTTTCAAGTACAGAGAAACTATGCAACCTTCACTGGTGCTTGTGTGTTATATCAAGGTAATTTTTTCAGGTCACTTAGCATTCCAGAGATCTACTCTTTGACTCCATGCATCAAAGCAAATTGACAGCTCACAAGGCCTACAAATATGTTTTGTGGAATCATCAATCTTGTTTCTGTTGTTGTTAAGTGCCATCGAGTTGGTTCTGACTCACAGCAACCCTGTATAGGGTTTCTAAGGAATGGCTTAGAATCATTTACCTTGGGGTTACCAGTCCAGTGCTTGTCTTACAGCGCCACACCAGTACTCCTGTTCCTGACTAGTATATATTTAAACCCACTTCCAACATTTACAAATGTAAGACTTCATATTAGAATCTAGATTTTCATCTTCTTTTGAAAATCAATTATCACTAGCAACACTGGTATAAGTTGTTACGCTGTTAAGTGCCACTGGGTCAGTCCCAACTCAGAGCAACGCTATATCGTTGCCAAGGAGCAGCTGGTTAATTTCAACTGTTGACTTTGCAGTTCAACCTCAACTTGTGTTCCAGTGCTAATCCTGCAGCGCCACACCAGGACTCCATATTCCCAGTAAAATCTGGCTAGAGTTCAGCAGACATTTGTGGCTCCCCTTTCAGTCAGATGAGCCAGGTGGTCTCCTGGGGCCCAAGTTCCCTCCAGCTGCTACCAGCTGAGTATCCACTGCTACCATACCTAGTCCCCTTCTCTCAGTTACAGATTCAGCCTGACCCTTAAGGCAGTTGAGATGCCTCTTGGCCTATTAAACACTTGGGAAGTGCCTTGGTGGTGGTGGTGTGCCATGGAATCGGTTCCGACTCATAGCGATCCTGTACAAGGTAGTTTCGAACTGCTGACCTTGAGGTTAGTAGCCCAGTTTGTACCCACTAAACTACCAGAGCTCCTTTGGGAAGTACCTTGGTGGTGGTGGTGGTTATGTGCCGTGGAGTCGGTTCCAACTCATAGCGACCCTGTACAGGGTTTCTGAGGCTGTAAATCTTTACGGGAGCAGAAAGCCTCATCCTTCTCCTGCGGAACAGCTGGTAGTTTCAAACTGCTGACCTTGCGGTTCGCAGTCTGAATCATAACCACTACGCTACCAAAGCTCCTTAGGAGAGCATTTATGCTAGTACTGAAATGTATGCTTGGAGAACATAATAGCAAATCATCTAAATAGAAAGACAACCAGTATTTGTCAGCTTACCTGTATTTTCCGGCATGGATGCTTGGTCAGTATTCCTCTCTTTTTTGAAAGAAATATTTCCAAATTGCAGCACTGAAGACACAACTTTAAGCATTGCTTTATTTTGATGCAAAGAAGAAAAAAAACATTACATCAGTATGTAGCACACACATACCCTCAGGGACTTTGTGCTATGTAAATTAATTACACAAAGCTTTTTTTTTTGTAAAGCACATCTCTAATTTCATAAATTTAGAGGCAGTTCTTACTAGTTTCTCAATTGTTTCAAATTTAGTTTACTTACACCAAATCCATAAATCGTATGAAAATGATTATCAGAATCTTAGAGAAATCACACATACACAGAATTTCTTCATGAGAGAAGCCCATTATATGCATCGCTTCCATTGTCTCCTGGAAGTTATCCTTGTCTTGCTGTCCCGGAATTGGGATATAGCCATTGGAGAGAAATCTGTAGTTGTTAAATCCTTCAAGAAGCAAATCGGCTGAAAGGAAATATAATGGGATACAATGTCATTCACCCACATTCAAACTGCACTGACATCCCAGAAGAACAGGGATCTGCATCCAACACATCACCACCAGGTTTTTCTTTCCTTATATTGTCATGTAAACACACACATGTATACAATTTTCCATTATCTGTACCAGTGAAAGAACAAGATGATGCAAACAATGCAAAAGCCTCATTTTGGGGTTGGTGGTGTGTACAAATATTTAAATTTAAATGGTACCACTGGGAAGTGAAGTAAATTCTCCAGCTAACTGAACTTTTTTGTTTCCAGACTGAACTATTATAATCACCGGTTGAGGGCATCTTTAACAGTCATATTCTACATTCCTATACTAGCAAGCGGGCTAACGGTATACATTACGGGGCCAATAAGAAGATTGCCAAGGGCCTAAGATAAACACGCAGATACTCAGAAGGCATACAGCAGGGTACCAGGTAAACACCTTGACACATCCTGTGGTAAATTTATCTTTCAGAGTGACGTTACCTCTCTCCTCTGACAGACTATAACGCACTCCCACATTGGCTACTAATACTTTAGGGACTAATGAATCAAAGAGAACTTAATTGACTCTTTCAGTAAATGTGCTCTTGACAGCAGAAGGATGTTCTTCCCAGCAATCAAAACGATAGGGCTGTTCACCCTTGTAGCAGAGGTTATGATGGGCTCCCTTATTCTCCTGCAGAGAATTTCTGTCTATCACCCCATCACCACCTCCTATCTACATCACCTTAACATCTACAGAATGCTGCCTGCTTTCTTTTTCTATCTCCGCTTAGCACACTGATCATGGAGTTTTGTGTTTCGTTATCAGTCAGGAAGCCTGAGGGTTTTCTTCTCTTCAGTACCTGATATTGCCAAATTTTGAATTTTTCAGTCTCTCGCTGGTAACAGTTACTCTATTTATTTAGCTGTTGCTTCCTTGCAGGTCTTTCTCGAATTAATTTCTGGGTTAAATGCTTTCACAGTTTGCCTGCAGTTAGCAAAAGCCAAGACTTCAGAGGAGCAAAGTGTTACTGTGTGTAAACAGAGGAGTGTTTAGGCTGGTTTCATGGCGCCTCACCTTTTCTCACTCATAAAGCACTAACCAGAGCTCTACTTTGTGCTTGGCCTAACCCAGAGAGTCTAGTCTTTATGATTCGTACCCCAAAAAACAACCAACCAACCACAGACTATGCCAAAGGCTCTTATGTGGATTCATACAGATTGAGTTCAGTGTATGAAAAAAAAAAAAATTGTCACTTAGGCACTTAACAACAATAATTTTATTAAGCAAATGTATGCTTTCTTTTATATTTATGGATGTTGAGACAGAACTGGATAAAGATCTATCTTCATTTATTTTATAATTTTAAAAATTCATAAAAAGAAACAAGTAGAAAAGATAATATAACAACATCCTCATATACATGGCACTCAAAACACAGCGCCTGCTACTCCTTGACCGGAGGTTCATTTTCCTGTTCCACCCAGTCAGAAGTAGGGTGGGCAGGGGCATAAAATTATTGTTCCCCAAAATTTCTCTTAAAAATTTTATCTGAATTTAAAAAAATCAAATTCACGTGAGCATGAAGCAGCAAAAAGCTTTATAACTTACACTTCAGGTGTTCCCCTGCTCCAGATAACAACTGGTAGAAGATATGAAAAGTCCGCTCATCTTTTGCTTGACGAACAGCACGAGACTTTTCCAGAAGGTCTGAGCAATGATGGTTAAGGGTTAAATAATGTAAAAGGTGGTTCTCTTTTAGTGTTTACACAAATTTAAATGAATAAAACAGCCTGTCTCTGATACATATTAACGATCCTGAAACGAACCAATCACACTTTGTCAATATTGGGGTAGAAACAAAAAAGAAAATAAATGCATTGAACTGAAAGGGAATTGAATGGTTATTGAGTGCTTTCCCACTCTGCCCCAACTCCAATGTGATGGATTTACATCCAAAGAACACAGAATTACAGTCAGAACTTTCAGAAGCTATTAAAAATCAAGAAGAATTGCTTAGGAGTCCTAGTGTGACTCAAAGGATAAGGACTTGACCTCAAGGTTAGTTTGAAAGGTCGGCGGTTCAAACTCACCAGCTGCTCCTCAGAAACCCTATACAGGGTCATGATAAGTTGGAACCCACTCAACGGCACTTAACAACAACAATGTGGTTGTTTAAGAGAGAAAATTCTGAAAAATATCTGAATCATTGCCAGAAATTTATAAATAAGAAAAACAAGGCAAAAAGAAATCAAATAACTAAATAAAAATAAAATAATACGTGGTAGAGCTAGAAATAAAAATTTAGTCTGACTCCCAAAAGTATGTGCTATGAGTCACCTTACTTGCAATGCCTCGTTTAAACTTTTCAAATGATGTCACAATTAGTAACCCCTTGATGCTCTGGAGAACCACTCACGGTCCTTAAGTAAGCCAAGGACCTGCTGCCAGGACTTAAAAGTGTGCTGCCTACACTGGCCTTTCCCTATGGCAGTAGGTAAGTCTTTAGTTGGCTCCCAAGTCTCAGGTGCCTGAGTTTATCTCTGAGACCTGTTTGTGTGCTGCCTGTCAAATAAGGAGTTCATGGAATCGTGGTCATATTGCATTAGAAGATCACTGCCTCTTTTCTAGTAATCCTGCAAACACCGAAGTGAATGAATTCTGTTTGTGCTGGACACCTGCATTTTAGATCACATACCCCAAACACACCCTCCACACATTTGGGGGACAATACATTCATGAGTGATGCTGTAACAGACCATTATAAAGGAATTTACACTTTACATTTATTCCTCTGTCATTTTGCAAGTATTTCTGGTGCTCTCGAGTTCTGAGAGTTTTAAGGACAAGACAGAACCTTTGCTGTCAATCTACTCTATGCCTCATCTGAGTTGATTTAGCTTTCTGAGAAATAAACAGTGTATTTCTGTCACTGGAGATTTTTTTTATCAAGTATCAGAATTACCATCTGTATCCCTTTCTCTTTGGCACCCTATTGTTCAGAATCATTTCTATTTTATGGCCTCTCTGATCACATTTATTTGATATATTCCCACACAAGGTCACTATTCATCAAAGTCAATTTGACCACAGGTTTGGATTTTGGGTGGTGGGTTCATTTCTTGAGAGTATTCTACATATATGATATTTCTTAAGACTATTTCCATATTTGACATTTTATATTTTCCTCTAGCTTTATTCTGCTTAAAAGTAACTAAAACTATTTTAACTCTGTACTTTCATAAGGTTTGTTTCAATGGGTATATGTCTACTCTAATCTTAAAAGTAGATGGAAAAACTAAAAAAAAAAAAAAAAGTGGGGCTTTTTAACGTAGTATAAGATAAAAGTATAATTGGATGTTAAGTGCCATCAAGTTGGTTCTGATCCATAGCAACCCCGCATAGGTTTCCAAGGAGTGGCCTGTGGATTTGAACTGCCAACCTTACAGTTCAAACTGACATTTCAGTCCAGCACATTATCCCTCTTCAAGTAATAGTACACTAGAGCATAACTGAAGAATAGCTACTATAATAGTATGTTAACAGCTGTATTATAAGGCAGTATAATTATAATAGCGTAAGTGATGGATACGTTCCCAGTGATAGTATCTATTTAGATGAGTGCTCCACATGCACACTGTCGTCCCACACAAACACATTCTGAGAGTGATGGACAGGATGATTCTGGCTGCAGCGAAACTCTCCATGTCCCCAGCCAGTGCATACACATTATGACACAGTTTTAAGACAAACAACAAAGAGAAATCCCATAGTTTCGGAGTTAACATTCAGTACATGAACATCTATGAACAAGTCACACCATGTCTGAGCTTCAATTTTGTCATCTGGCTAATGGGAGGGGTATCACCTGTCAGAATGTTGCCAGGAAGATTTAGGAGATGAAATCATCTTCATTTTGGATTTACACTGTTATCATAATATATACTCGTATCAGAAAAGGATACATGTTTCAATGTTGGCCCCAACGATATAGCCAGTTACATCAAAGTTGATCCGAATAAACTTTCCCTGAAAAACAAATCAAAAAGAGAAAATTAGAAGTAAATAAGGGCATTATCTGAACATTAAAATAGAGTAGCAAAACAATGTTCCCTGCCAAGTATCCATGAATTAGTTACAAACATGGAATTTACATTTGTCCTCCAAATAAAAAAAAGTCTCAAGAAATTTCAAAAAGCAGCAATAGGCTAGGTTACAGCCTGAACTATGCATAATAAGCACTGGACTACAAAGTCAGTTTGAATCACAAGGCCAATGGTTCAAATTCACTAGCCGCTCCTTGGAAATCCTATACAGGGCCACTATGAGTTGGAACTGACTAGACAGCACTTAAGAAACAACATGGTGGTGGTGGTAGTTCTATACCATGGAGTCGGTTCCGACTCATAGTGACCCTGTACAGGGTTTCCAAGGCTATACATTTTTATAGAAGCAGAAAGCCTCATCTTTCACCTGCGAAACTTCGACTGGTGGTTTTGAACTACTAACTTTGAGGTTAGCAGCCCTACTCGTAACCACTATGCTACCAGAGCTCCTTACAAACAACATAGTAATACTGCATTTAGCCCCATACTACTAATAGAGTTGAAAATCTGAACATCAGACGATTTCCTAGAAAGCTAGAAATCAATTCAAGAAAAACTTGAATAAATCATGATCATAAAAAAATGATGAAATAGAATTACTTTTAAAATGCTGAATTGAAGTTTTGTAAGTTTCTACTGTAGAAACTGTTCATTGTTATAGTTGAGTGCCATGAAGTCAGTTCTGACTCTCAGTGTCCCTGTATAGGTTTTCTAAGGAGCGGCTGGTGAACTTTGAACCACCGACCTTGTGGTTCACACCAACCTTGCGGTCCAGTGCATTATCCTACAGCACCACACCAGGACTCCATAGAAACTGTTGAGGGAAACAGAAAAATGTGCTTCTTTCCTAACTCATTTTATAAAGTTATCATAGCTGTTGTTGGGGAACTGATGAGCAAATACTTGTTTACTATACAAGTATGTGACCACTTGTCTAAATTACTTTGGGATATTTCTTTTTCAATGACCTATTCAGAAGACAGTTGAGAAAGTGATAGCTTCAGTAGTTATAGTGGCAGTGTATCCTCTGCAGCTTAATAAAACAATATCTTTTGGCTATCATCTCCTAGAATAGCAATTTTTATTCATTAGTGAGGTATTGTTAATAGGTAATCTAGTTGTTTAAGTTTTATAAAGGTATTTAATCTTTAGGATAACATCAGAGCCTTAGCGGTGCACTGATTAAGAACGTGGCTACTAACTGAAAAGGTTGGTGGTTCAAACCCACCAGAGGCACCCCAGGAGAAAAGACCTGGTGATCTGCTCCTGTAAAGATTACAGCCTAGGAAAGCCCCTGGGGCAGTTCCACTCTGTCACGTGGACTCACTAGTATGAGTCAGTATCAATCTGACAGCTACAACAACGTAACATCAAGACCTGACTAGGTTTTGAGTTTCTATTTTGAGCAGTTCTATCTGTTTTAAGGAGCTCTGGTAGCATAGTGATTATGAATTGGGCTGCGAACCTTAAGGTCAGCAGTTCAAAACTACCAGCTGTCCCGCGGGAGAAAGATGAGGCTTTCTGCTCCCGTAAAGATTTACCGTCTCAGAAACCCCGTACAGGGTCACTATGAGTTGGAACCAAGTCCATGGCTCATAACAACAACAACATCTGTTTTTATGAGTCCTGGTACAGTGCTATAGGATAAGCACTGGACTGCTAACTGTAAGGTTGGCAGTTCTCACCTACCAGCTGCTCAGGAAATCCTACACAGGGTCACTATGAGTTGGCATCAACTCAATGACACTTAACAAGTCCTTACAAGGACTGATATTTTTAAAGTTTTTATTTATTTTTAGAGGTCTTCCAAAGAGAAAGGATACAATTTACTTATTTTAAAACTAGAATAAAACTCATTCTCTCTAGTAATTACCATGAGTCCATTGGACCTTTCCTATATTTTGAAACAATTTGCTGTTTTATCATCCTGGAATTATTTCATCATTACTCACTGTTTTTTGTTTTTTTTCAACTTTAAAAAAAACAACAAAAGTCAGAATGATGCAGTTGCCTAAAAGGATGCCCCAGTGGTGAATAAACTGCCACTGTTGTATCATTCTTTAGTTTTTCTCATTTTATTGATCAAAATATGTTATCTTTCAAGAAGATACAAAAAAAGAATCGAGACATCATCTTTGCAATCTTGTCTTTAGCTTTTAAATGAACATAGTTGAGAAGTCTAAAGTTTTTGTCCGTAATAGCATAGAAAAGAAAATTATCAAGGGAAAACATTTCACAAATACTAGACAAATCAGAAAATAAGTGTGAGGAGACCGAGAACAGCAATCTAGACAGTGAAATAGATTCTATAAGCAAAATCCCAGACTCAATTTTCAGATGACAAGCCAAGAATTTTGTCCAACTCAGTAACAAGGTATTTCTAAGGACAGAACAGAGTTGTGATCCTAGCATCCACTCAGTGGTTCAATAGGGAGGACTACCTCAGAATTTTGCAACAGGAACCTGGACCATCTGTTTTACTAAAAGGCTAGGTGACAGTATTCTTTCATGTTGGCTAATGTTTGCATACCAAAATTCACTTGCTACACAAATGCTGAGGGCAGCTGTATGTACAAAAGTTATGGCCAAGAAATAAATGATACATAATTTTAAAAAAAATTATTAGGTTGATAATTTTAATTGGTGTTTAGAAATCTAAGAATGAAAATGTTTTACCATTATGGAGTAAAAGAGAAGACCTTAATTTTTCTTTCTTTCTTTAATCTTTGATTGTGAATTAACAAGATCATGGGTTTACATTCAATATCACACACTCTGTTTCATCTCAATGATTTCATCTAGTGGTTTCTTATTGTACCCAATTTGCGTTTTTCCTAATGGCTGATGATATTGAGCATCTTTTCATTTACTTATTATCTTCTATATATTTTCTTTGGTGAGGTATCTATTTTTTTTACCCAGTTTTTAAGAACTGGGTTGTTATTAGTCTATAAAAGTTTATATATAAAGCAACAACATATATATATATAGCTAAGTACTGTCAAGTCGATTTCGACCCATAGCGACCCTGTATAGTTTCCAAGAAGCAGCTAGTGAGCTTATCTCTTCTTCTTCTACACATACCTAAAAGAAACTAGTATCTCTGAAAACAACATATTTAATTCTGAATGTTATTAAGTGCTGTGGAGTTAGTTCTGACTCATAGTGACCCTGTATAGGGTTTATGAGGAGTAGCTGGTGGATTTGAACTGCCCCATCTTGTGATTAGCAGTCAAGTGTTTATCCTACAGCATCACACCACGACTCCCAATAATGAGTGTTGTTGTTGTTGTTAAGTGTTGCTGAGTTGGTTCTGACCCATAGTGACCCTGTTCAGGGTTTCTGAGGAGCAGCTGGTGGGTTTGAACTGCTGACCTTGCAGTTCAAACTGATCTTGTGGTCCAGCTCATTATCCTGCAGCGCCACAAGCCAAAACTTTAAAAATGTACGCTACTCAGTAATCATTTTCTCCTTTCTAATCTGGTATTTAAGGAGCTCTGGTGACACAGTGGTTAAGTGTGTGGTAACTAATAGAAAGGTCGGTGGTTCAAACGCACCAGGTGGTTCATGGAAGAAACATGTGGGAGTCTCCTGGTAGCGTAGTGGTTATGAATTAGGCTGCTAACCTCAAGGTCAGCAGTTCAAAATTACCAGCCATTCGACGGCAGAAAATGAGGCTTTCTGCTCCTGTAAAGATTCACAGCCTCAGAAACCCTATGCAGGTCGCTATGAATCACAATCGACTCCGCAGCACACCACCACCACTTCTTTAAGGATTTGTTATTGTTACGTGTCTCTGAGTCAGTTCCAACACATAGCAACCCTGTATAGGGTTCCTGAGGAGCAGCTGGTGGGTCTGAATAGTTAACCTCGTGGTTCCCAGTCTGGTGCTGATCTTACAGCGCCACACCAGGAGGATTACAGCCTTGGAAACCCCATGGGGTAGTTCTAATGTGTTCTACCAGTCAGAATCAACCCCATGGCAAAACAAGAGCAATTTGGTATGTACAATTATGTGGTCTATAATTTACTTTGAAACACTTGAGCATAGATATTACACAATATGAGTGTTGTCCTTGTTACCAGGTACCATTGAGTCAGTTCTAACTGATAACAACCCTGTGTACAACAGAACAAAACACCACCCGGTCCCGCACCATCCTCACAATTGTTGCAACACTTGCACACATTGCTGCTGCCACTGTGCCAATCCATCTGATTAGGGGACTCTTTCTTTTTCGCTGACCCTCCATTTTACCAAGTCTTTTGCCAGGGACTGGTCCCTGCTGATGTTATATGTCAGAAGCAAGAGAGATGAAGTCTAGTCATCTTGGGTTCTGATTATGCTTCTTCCAACCCAGAGTTGTTTATTTTGCTGGCAGTTCATGGTACCTTTAATATTCTCCTCCAACACCATAACGCAAATGTATCAATTCTTCTACGGTCTTCCTTATTCACTGACCAACTTTCACATGTATATTGCTGTTGTTGTGAAGTACTGTCAAGTCAGTTCTGACCCATAGCAACCCTGTGTAGGGTTTTTGAGGAGTAGCTGGTGAGCTTGAAGCACCAACCTTGCAGTTCAAATGGATTTGCAGTCTGGTGCATTAACCCACAGCGCCACACCAGAACTCCTTCACATGCATATGAGGCGGCTGCAAATACCGTGACTTAGGTCAGGCACACTTTAGTGCTCAAACTGACATCTTTGCTCTTGAACACTTTCAAGAGGTCTTGTGCAGATTTACCTAAAGCAATATGTTGCTTGATTTCTTGACAGTTGCTTCCATAAGTATTGATGGTAGGTCCAAGCAAAATGAAGTCTTTGACAACTTTAATCTTTCCTCCTTTTACCATGTATTTATTTTATTGTTCCAGTGGTGAGGATTTTTGCTTTCTTTACACTGAGGTATAATTCATACT